GGGGGGGGGGGGGGGCCCCCCCCGCCACTACACACACCCCTGGTGTGTCTGTCTCCTGGATCTGTGTGCAGGGGAGGGCAGGCTGATGCTGTGGGCTGGCGCTGGGGCCTGCGTCAGGCACTTCCCAGCAGAGGGGCTGGGGCAGGCAGTGGGGTTGCTGGGAGGGGGGGCTATAGCCACCCCAGAAGTTGCTATAGACACTCCTCCCTGCATCGCCACTGCCGCGCGCCCTGAGTGCAGCCCCAGCCCAGCCCCTCCACCAGAAAGAACCCAGTGTAGACCCTGGCCCTAGCCTGCAGTGGCAGCCCACCCTCACCCTGCACACAGATTCAGGGGCCATACACCTCCTGTGCCTGCCCTGGGGGTGCACACAGCAGCAGGAGCTGCGCCCTCTTCCCCCCCTGCACCCATCAGACCTGTCGCTCGCAGCTCCATCCCACGTCCCATCCCGGCTGGGCAGTGCCTGCCCCTGCCCTAGTTCCACTCCCTCCCCCACCGTCGGGGTCTCAATCTGCCCCCCATGCTCCTTTCCTCCTCCGCCCCTTCACCCCAACAGATTTACCAGCCAGACGCTGCTCTCCAAGCTGCTGGGCTGGCTGCATCATAGTTGCGGCTGCACATATACATGTGGCATTTATCAGCAGCATTGGCCACATCAGCCAAAAAAAGCCGATTGCTGATGTCAATTTTCCTTTTATCAGTGCCGATACGACATGTATCATTGCGCCTTTAATTTTTACATAATTAATTTTCATGTAGCTCTCAGCTACAGGAGCACAGGGAATTTGTGTGGTTTTGGACTAAATGTCAGTCTAATCATAAATCCATATGCTGTATCTGTTATGATGATTATTTTTTGTACGTAGCAACTGCACTAAATGGTCCAAAGGGTCTCCTATTTTAATAAGAATATCTTCTAGTGGTTGAGGGGGAGGACATAGGCAGCATGTCTCAAAAACAGAAGCAGTATGTGAATTTTTCTCTAATTAAGTTATCTTCCTTGGCCTTTTAACTCTTTTTTTCACCAAAATAATTTCTCTCTGTATTGAAACCTTGAGTACAGGCCTTGTAAGGAGATGGAGGGTTATTATAAAAGCTGACTTCTTTAGTTAAGTAGTTGTTTGATTTTTTTTTCAAGTTATTTTATTTCTTACATGGATTGTATGTTGCATTTCACTTGAGACACAGGAATAGAAAGTGTTTCATGAAGGTAGCCCTAGCATCAACAGTATTTGTAGTCAGTAATATTAGTCCTTACAAGTCAAAGTAAATACACAAGCATGAATTTGGATGGTCTACCCTTCCATCCATTTTTTTGGCTCTCTTTCTGCCCGTGATAAAACTAGCATGCTTTGTTAATGGGGGCCCTGGCTCTCCAATTTGAAGGCTGCTTTGTAAGAAAGAGATCTTCTTGTAGACATTCTCCAATTTCAACGGATGAGTTTC